CTGTGATGATCATTCTTCACTTTCATCTACAATCGCAGTTCATATATGAATTATTTCATATAAACTTCACATCATTTCACTCCTCACGGGAAGATATGACTTCAACTAATTGACCTTGCTTCCAATGTGTGGCTTCATAGCTCAGTTGGTAGAGCATCACACCGGTATCGCGGAGGTCACGGGTTTGAATCCCGTTGAAGCCCTGAGTTTTTCAGGCTTCATCTTTCCAATTGCTTAAATTGGAAAATTAACTGCGATGATCATTCTTCACTTACAAGTTCCAATTGTTATGGTTTTTAATGGAACATACCTTCCCATATCCAAACACTCTTATCTCTTCCACAAGTCGCAATTAATGATCCTGAAGAACTCCACACAACTGACTTGACCTCATTCTCATGTCCTTCAAGAGTAGCATTACATTCAAACTCTAAAAATTCATAAATTAATGGTAAGCAAAATTTAATCCATCAGTAATATTACTGAATAATAGACTTACTGAATGAATTTCCTTGAATGGCATATCTTGGTACACCTACCTCCACTGTTTTTGTCCCAAATGCAGACAGTTGCATCAAAGCTGGCAGAAGCAAGGTACATACCACTTGGAGACCAATCAACTGAAATCATAAAAAAAAATCACTATGTGCAATCCGTTTTGGATAGATTTTTAGAATGATATAAAAATCATAGACAAATCGAAATTTGTACAATGACTATCAACTTTGTGTTACTTAAAGCTCCTTTACACATACGCATGTACAATTTCCATGAATACTGATAATTGTATAAAAGGAAAATTATTAGTGTAAGTGCTCATAAATTATACAGCAATCTCATTCCTACGGTCGCTACTATTTTCACTCCAAGCTGTGGACAGGAAAGACTCTGGAAATGAGATTGGCAATGCAGTGCAATACTAGGAGCGTATTTACTGAGTGGTACACATGTAGCACCAGATGAGAAAATATTTAGCTTAAGATCCACAGATTGAGCCTGGGAGCCAACTATTAATTTTCTTGTCTTGCCCAACCTTGTTAATGTGCATGACAGTGTATTAGACAAGTTCTTTTTGTGGCAAATGAACAATGGTGACCATGATGATGATGCTAATGATGCTGAAGATGACGATGACAATGACTCTGACAGCAATAACGATGATTATGATGATGACCTCAGTCAGTCAACAAGTATGTTATTAAACCACCTTTACTAACTTCAATTTTGTTTGAAGTCATGAAGATTTCATGGTGAACAGTCTGAATAGCCCTTTTTACAGTTCCTGACGCCATATTGT